CCCTAAGCCGCGCGCGGGCGGCTAGCTGGTCGCGCGCACGAAGAATCGGCCGCGCGCGGGCGGCTAGCGAGGCGCGCGCGCGAAAAATCGGCCGCGCACGGGCGGCTAGCGAGTCGCGCGCGTTAAAAACGAGCCGCGCGCGGGTGGCTAGCGGGCTGCGTGCGCGCGATTGGTAGAGGCGCACGAGGGCGCGCGGTAGGTAGAGGCGCACGAGGGCGCTAAGGCGCACGAGGGCGTGCGGTAGGTAGAGGCGCACAAGGGCGCTAAGGCGCACAAGGGCGCTCGGTAGTGAGAGGCGCACGAGGGCGCACGAGGGCGCACGAGGGCGTACGAGGGCGCACGATAGGTAGGTAGGTAGGTAGGTAGCGGTGGGCCCTAGGAGCGGTCCTAGCAAAGGACCTGCTCTGATACCATGTCAGAATGAACAGGCAGGAATGAGGAACTAGAAAGGATGGTGAGTACAAATATGAAACCCTAATGTTGTGACCCCCCTATAGGCTAACCCACTATAGCCTACACAAACACAACATATATAATGTTTGACACGAACCTGGGCCAACTTTGGTTGGCGGTTGGCTGTGCCTGTCCGCCTAGTTCGGCGAACGCCGGTCGATTCTAATGTCGTTGCGTGAGATGACGTGCCCCAAAAACTCCAACTCTTGCTTAAAATGCTCGCACTTAGAGCTCTTTGTGATGAGCAAGTTGTCCTCTAGCCGCTTAAAAACTGCGTCGAGGTCGCGGAGGTGCTGCTCGCGTGTCCTGCTAAAAAACAAGATGTCGTCCAAATAGATGATTACACACTTGTCGAGTAGATCGCGAAACACCCTGTTCATGGTGCGTTGGAATGTTGATGGCGCATTCGTGAGGCCGAAAGGCATCACGGTGAACTCGTAACTGCCGTACTGGGTTCGGAAGGCGGTCTTGTGACAGTCGTCAGCGAAGACCCTGATCTGGTGGTAACCGCCGCGTAGGTCAATCTTCGAGAAGTAGCGAGCGCCGCGAAGTTGGTCGAGGAGGTCGTCGGTGCGTGGGATGGGATAGCGAGACTTGATGGTAACCCGGTTGAGCGCGCGATAGTCGATGCACATGCGAATGCCGCCGTCCTTCTTCGGTGTGAACAGGATCGGTGCGGCGAAGGGCGAAGTACTGGGTCGGATGAAGCCCTTCTCCAACAGTGACTCAAGTTGACTTCGAAGCTCCGCGAGTTCGGGCTGAGTCAGACGCCACTGTGTATGAACAGTCGGTTGCGTGCCAGGCTCGAGGGTGATTCGGTGGTCCTCGGGGTGTTCGGGTGGTAGTCAAGATGGCAGGTCATCCGGGAAAATGTCGGGGTACTGTCGAATCAGCTCCGCTAAATCAGGTGGTACAGCTGCGCACAGCTTCTCGATGCCCTTTCTGTCGGTGTCGGCTGCCAACTAATGCAAACATACGGCAAACAGTTGCGCACCCCTGTTGACGTACCGTGTAAGATTGATGGCTTTGACGTATGTAGACTCAATGCAGTCCGGAGTCCACGCGGGCAGAGTAATCAGCTTCTCGTCGATCCCGTCGTCCAATCGATTATCGGGTTGTGCCGTCGCAGCCAATCTTGTCCCACGAGTACGTTGCATCCATCCAATGTCGTCGCGAGAAACTTCATGTTGAAGCCGAAATCGTCACTGCACTCAATCCGCACCATCCGTGGCCCCTCCATAATCGCCAGCGGCGTCCCATCCACGAAGGGAGCGTCAATTTCGAACAGACACCTGTTCAGCTGCAACTTGCAATTTTTTTTTATGTCGCCAGATCGAAGAGGCTACGGCTAGCCCCGCCATCGACGAACATTTTTATTTTTTTCTTAACAACTGTGCCGACAACTAGTACAGGGTGATCCACATGTTCACCCCCGTTATTCGTCCGAGTGCGATCGATTGCATGAATCGGAACCACGGCTCGGTAGGGATGGTGGGGTTCGGGCGACAGAGCACAGTCAGTAAGGGGCCCGTCTAGTACTAACTCCTCCCATTTCCCGGCTCTTTCCCGTCCTGTCGGGACAGTCTTTATACATGTGGCCCGACTTCCCGCACTTAAAACACAACCCTGTAAAAGGGCGGTCTGGCGCATGGACTCCGTTAATCGTGGCCCGCTGGGTCTGTCCACGAAACCGGCTTCCCTCCCAAGAACTCAATCTCGCCCACTGCATCAGCGCGTCTGTGCTCTCGGCCAATCGGGTGGCTTCGTTGAATGTTGCTGGACGGCTGCGGCGCACCTCGTACTGTATCTCATACTTCAAGCCGCTGATGTATTTATCCAACCGCAAAGCTTCCGCCATGTCGTCCACTTGATCCGCGAGCGCCATAAACGACGCCGTGTAGTCTTGAACAGAAGCCAACTTCGACTAGTACGCAGCTTCATGCGAGCGTGTTCCGAGGCGGATACATGCTCGAAACGCTCTCGTAAGGCTGCGCCCCACTGTTTCCACGTGCGAATTGTGGCCACACCGAATATTGATGATGCCCTCCTATTAGCAGAGTCGGAAATCCTGTCTGCCGCATGTGTCACACTTGTCGGGTTCCCCGTGTCCAAGGTACGTCTCCACCATTCGAGTGCCGGGCCTCGCAGAAGCGATACCGCGTAATTAATACGCGCGTTGTCATCATCAACGTTTGCAGCAGTGAAGAAGACCTCCACGCCGAACAGCCACCCCTTAACTGTAGTACCCTTGTCCGTAGGGTTGAACGGGGGCGGGCTCGCGGGCTTGATCTTGATTGTTGTAACTGCAATTGCTGTTGCCGGCGCTGTCCGCCTATCGCCTTCTTCGACGCCTCGTGGGAGTTCGCCAGTTGCATTAGGGTCGCTTGCCACTTGAGTTGTGGTTTCGCCATCTTCGACGGGCGACTCCTGACGCGCTTCACCTCGCGCCTGGCGTAGCTCGTTGTTTTCTTCACGTAGTCTCTCCACTTCCGTTGTTAACGCCTTCATGCCTGCCGACATTTTTGCCACTTGCTGCATAAGTTTGTTGAACGCTTCCTGGCCCATGAGTCGAAAGCTACCAACCGCTTTGCAGCCCACCGTACCAGTCACACCCGTGCCTCTAAACTACCCTGGAAAAGCGGGGTGAACTAGGAAATTAACCCTGATACGGTACCAGGTCTTATGAGTTGTCAAACAGAGTTGCGCGGAATAACGAATAACGAGGCTGTGACTCAATGAACCGACAATACAATGAAAGGCATGCGATTATATAGCGAGACAACCTAGCTAGGCGGGAACCTTAGGAACACGAGGTTGGGTGCAGGTTGGGCAAAGAAAAGCCAAAGGCGAAGCGAGGTTGCTTCGGCAGAAAGCAAAGTGGCCGAACGTGCACTTCCAAAGGTTGGGGTTGTACGCGGTTGAGTAAACCCGAGAAAGGAAAAGGGTTTTCCGTTACAAAATTTCTTCATAGTACTGGCGAACGGGGAGCAGGGCCTTTGTTTCGAGGTACAATGTCGTACGCGCTGTGGAGCTGGATGCGAAATAAGGAATTTGAATTTCCTTACACATGGAGCAAATGCATTTGTAGCGGAAGCCAGCCATTCCCCCACTAACCCTTCACCCACCCAGCCTCTTCCTGTCCTAGTTGCAGCCGACATCACCCTGCGCCTCAGTCCTACTCGTGCTTAGCACAAGTCATTTCCTGCTCGATTTCCAATGCCGGAACGTATGGAAACAGGCGAGGATGTATCACAGCCGTTGATTCCAGGCCTATTGGACGATCTAGCCATCATGTGCCTCATCCGCGTGCCGCGTGCCTACCACAGAGTAATCATCGGTGACCTCGTCAAATTGCAACTCTCTTGCTCTCGCTCGTCCCGCTGTCGTATGCACGTACCTAGAATATGGGCACGGACCGGCTGCTTCCCCACCCCTCCTCCCTCTCCGCACCCCTTCCGCACCCCTTTCTGCTCCCCGCAACCTTTCTCCCGTACCCGCAAGGCACTCCGCCTGGTGTGCCGCCCGTGGGCGCAGCTGCTGGACTCGGGGGAGCTGTGCCGGCGACGGCGGCAGTGCGGCGCGGCGGAGGCGTGGGTATACGTGCGCACGCGCGACGGCGCGTACCGCAACTACTGGCGCGCGTTCGACACCACCACGCGCACGTGGCACGCGCTGCCGCCCCTGCCGCCGCTGCTGCTGGCGGGGGAGAGCGCGAGCGCCACGGAGAATGCCATGCAGGTGCGCGCACGGAGGGCTGACAGGCGATTGGGGGGCAGGGGAAGAAGCAGGGGAAGGGGGACAGGAAGGGGAGAGAAATGAGAAGGGGTGTGTGTGTGGGAAGGGGGATGATTGAGCAGTGGAATGGGAGAGCACGGTTTGATGGGACTGGGAGATGCTGCTGGCCTTGCTCCGCTATGCAGCTTCTCCCCTTCCACTCACCGACGCCTCTCACTCTCTCTCTTGTCCGCACGCATTGTCATTCCGTTACTACAAGTGTGCTCCCCTTTCCACTGGTGGCCGTGCTCCCGCTCACCCGTTCCACCGGTGCAGTGAGTGCGATGGCGTGACCACAGCAGCGCCAACCAGGTCACGTATACCCCGCTTCAGTCCATCCACTCTATGCCCCTCGTTGCCGCTCTCAAGCCTTTCAAGCATATTTTCTGGCACTTGCCACCTGGTTGTGCTCTGTCCCTTTCCCCCTTGCACCACTCGCGCCCGGGTCTGTCCATGTGTCCGCACGGCAGGTGCGGGGGCTGGGGTCAGCAGCAGTGGGCGGCAAGCTGTACGTGTTTGGCGGGTGGCGCGAGGGCGGGCCGGCGCTGCAGTGCACGTGGTGCTACGACCCCTGCACCGACCGCTGGCAGCGCCGCGCCGACATGCGCATGGCGCGCTGCTACATGGCGTCCGGTGCCCTGCCCCGCACCCACGCCACCCATGCGCTCCACGGTGCTGGTCGCAGCGAGGGAGGACCTGGAGGAGGTGGAGAGGGGGTGGGAGGAAGATGTGGAGGAGGAGGAGAAGGCATGGCGAGCTGTTGTGAAGGTGACATGGAGAGTGCGGGCAGCACTCCCAGAAGCAGAGGCAGAGGCAGCACAAGCACTGGTACCAATGAGTGTGGTGATGACGGTGTGATCCTGGTGGCGGGTGGCATGGTTCGTCCGCGCCTGCACCCGAGTGAGCTGCTGGTGGCAGCGGAGCAGTACGACGTGCAGCGCGACCAGTGGGTGCTGCTGCCACCCATGCCGCACCCCATGCTCTTCTCTTCGGGCGTCACCCTCGCCGGCCGCTTCCTCGTCAGCGGCAACTTCACTGATGAGGGGCAGGTCAGAGAGGGGGGAGACGACGACAGGGGAGGGGTGTATGACCAGCTGCTTCTCTATACGCTCCGGCATGCTGCTTCTGCTCGTTCTCATTGTCGCCGTGCAAGCCCCTGATGACTTGTCTTGTGTCTTGTCCTCCCCCCTAACCCCCCTCGCCCACCTCTGTGTGTGTGGAGCAGTGGGGGGCGGTGTACTGCCCGCGTGTGCGGCAGTGGCAGCCCATAGCGCATCGGTCGCTGGCGACATCGCTGCTGTCCCCGTGTGCAGCGCTGGGCGACCTGCTCTTCTGCATCAAGGACGCCCTGCAGGTGCGCTCTCCCCACTGCGCCCAGGGCGCGCTGTGGGTGAGCACGTGGGCATGGGTGGGGCATGACAAGTAGGCGACGTGAGTGGACTCATTTGTGCACCCACGAGTGCTATACATATGGTCCCATGGACTCATCATTTGTGCTCGCAATGTTTTTTTTGCCCTTTTCCATGATGTATCTGTCTTGTCTTGTGCTCTGCGTTTCTCACTCTTCTTCCCGTCTTCCAGTATCATACGCGTTTCCCCATCAGTCCTACCTACTCCCAACTCTTCACGTCGTGTTGCCCAAGCTACCATAGCTGCCTTAACTGCGCGCATGACCTCGCCTCCGCGCATGTGCTCCCATGGCAGGTGTGGAACCCGGGGCGGGGTGACTGGGACCTGGTGGAGGGCGAGGGGCGCATATTCACCGACACGCGCTTACCCTGCTGGGTGTGCTGCATGGCGTTCGTGGGGCGGCGCCTCTTCCTCGTGCACCAGAACTCATCCATCACCGCCGTCACCCTCCACCTGCACCACCCCTCTCCCTCTGCCACGCCTGCTGCTGCTCTGCCCCCCACTGGTTCCCTTCCTCCCACTCCAACTCGTTCTGGGTCGGCCATTCCAGATGCAGTGGTAGCTGGTTCGTCGCCCCCTGCTGCAGCTGCGATGAGAGTCTCTGCAACAGCTGGAGTGATGGGTGCGCACCACACGGAAGCAGGAGGTGCCGTCCAGGTCGACGCACAAGCCCCTGCTACTGCTGCCGCTGCCACTCCTGCCAGTGCCACTGACACTGCCAATTATGGTGCTGTCAATGCTGGTGGGAGGAGGGAGGAAGATGAGAGAGCAGTTGCGGAGAGGCGAGCAGCAGCAGAGAGGGCGATGAGGGAGGTGGCAGAGGCAGTGGCAGCAGCAGAGGCGGTGGGAGTGCCGTCCGCTGTGGCGCCTGCGGCAGGGCACGTGGCGGGGCAGATCTCCCATGCCATGGCGGCTGGTGCACGCACATGGCAGTACGGGAGAGAGGCGGGCGCAGAGAGTGGGGGGGGGGCAGTGGGGGACATTGGATCACAAGCCCGGGACGTGCTTGTGAGCCCTGCCAGTCGTGGCGCTGAGCAATGGAGGAGGGTGCGGCGAGGGGGAGAGGAGAGCACGCCTCTGGCAGGGCAAGCGAGTGAGGGTTCGAGGGGGGCTGGTGACGGGTGGGATGGGGGGCGGTGGGGAGAAAAGCCCTGGGGTTGGGGGGGAAGTGGAAAGAGGAAGGTGCAGCAGGTGGAGGTGAGGGTGGAGGAGGTGGTGAGAGTGAGCGAGGGAGTTGCAGCAGACGATGAGCAGGCCATAGACTGCTACGTGCTTGAGGCATAGCAGCAAGCACTCACGTGGAGATGTTGCCATCCAAGGGAAGACGCATAGGCATGGTGCTTCTGTACACGAGCCGTGCAGGACTGCTGAGGGGCGGTGTGAGGGATTCGAGCTCATCAAGCCGCACACGGCTTCCTTGACGGTTGTCACCAAGGGGACTCGTGTCTGCTGTCAACATGCAGTGAGGAAGCTTTTAGATACTGATCCTGGATCAAAGCCTTGGGCGTCTTATTCAAAATTGTTCAAAGTAAACGCCAGGGCAGGCAAACAAGCATGGCAAGCATGTCAGAATAGCATAGTGGAATGAAGTTCACTAACAAGCATGAGATACGGCACAAATGACCAACCCCGAGAGTATTGTACTCCTTGTTATAGCCTAACATGCAAATACACGGTATCCCCCAGGGGCAAGCATGAGATACGGCACAAATGACCAACCTCGAGAGGATTGACACACCCCCAGGGGCATCGCACGAGGAGAAACAACCCAGGGTGGTGTAACTACCAAGTCCATGTTGAAACAGCAGCTAGAAAGTTGGGACAGGAAAGAGGGTTGCACTAGCAGACAGTTGGGATAGAAATAGCAAACCCTAAACGGGTTGTACTCACTATAGAGTACCCCACTGCAGACTAGACAAATATCACATTCTGACATGTCAAACATATATGCTGCATATTGTCTAGGCTGTAGTGGGGTAGCTCATATGGGGTACAACCCAAATTAGGGTTTACTACTTGTACTCCTGCATGCTGCTAGTTCAACCATTCCTGCTGCTAGATTCTAACATGGTATCAGAGCGAGCAGACTCACCAGCACCTGGAGCCGCAGCCTCACCAGCACCTAGAGCAGGAGACGTACTAGCACCTAGAGCAGCAGCCTCACCAGCACCTAGAGCAAGAGACGCACTAGCACCTAGAGCAGCAGCCTCACCAGCACCGAGAGCAGCAGGCTCTATACCAGGGTCAGGCGGTACGCACAGGTAACAGGCACGGTCAGCACTAGTAGGCAATGCATACATGGCAGTGAGAATAGCATCATAGTCAAGCGCAAAGATATCAACCCTCAGTCCAAGCAGCTCCAGCCAGGCGGGGAGCTCAGCCTCGTCGCCAAACACTGTACGCCAGTCGTCACTCGGACGGGCGAAGCAGCGGGACTGTGTGTGACCAAGCGTCCCACAAGGCTGACCAGTCCTAGCACCTGTGCGAATGACGTACGGGCAGCGAACTGTACGCGTAGACCTGCTACACTGAGCGTACCACTCATGGAGCTGCTGCAACGTAAGTGCCTCGCGTGGATGCCGGTGCAGCTGCAGCTGGCCACTGCCAGACGCCCCCAACTGACCAGCTCCAGGGCGACAGCTACGACGGCTACACGCGTTACACCACGGTCTTCCCCTTGCAGAGCAAGGGGGACGTCCCTGATGTTTTGATCCCTTGGATCCGCGCTGTTCGTCTCCAGCTCCGCGAGCGGTTCCGGCGGGACTTTCCTGTCCTGCGTCTGCACTCTGACAGAGGTGGTGAGTTCACCTCAGACCTCTTGGCAGCCTACTGTGCGGAGCACGGCATCACCCAGTCGTTCACGCTTCCGGCCTCTCCGCAGCAGAATGGGGTTGCTGAGCGCCGCATTGGCCTAGTCATGGAGGTCGCTCGTACCTCCATGATCCATGCGGCTGCCCCCCATTTTCTGTGGCCGTTTGCGGTCTGGTACGCCGCGCATCAGCTCAACCTCTGGCCCCGTGTCTCCTTGCCGGAGACCTCGCCCACACTGCTGTGGACGGGGAAGGTTGGCGATGCGTCGCGTTTCCGGGTCTGGGGTGCTCGTGCCTTTGTCCGCGATACCACCGCGGACAAGCTCTCTGCTCGCGCCGTTCCCTGCGTCTTCCTTGGCTTTGTCCCTGACGCGCCTGGTTGGCAGTTTTACCACCCCACCTCGCGCCGTGTCTTTGCGTCTCAGGACGTCACGTTCGACGAGTCGGTTCCCTTTTACCGTCTCTTCCCCTACCGCACTGCCCCGCTCCCCCCCCCCCCCGCCGCTCTTCCTCGCTCCAGGTGCTCCCCAGGTAGACCCCCTCCCCGCTCCAGGTCCTGCTCCCTCAGGTGTGTCTCAGGTAGACCCTCCCTTGACTGCACCGGTTGAGGTCACTGGTGACTCAGGTCCTACTGGGGGTGGTCCTGCTCGGGGTGCTACTTCTGGGGGTGCGGAGCCTGGGGGTGCTGAGCCTAGGGGTACTGAGCCTGGGGGTGCGGAGCTTGAGGGTGTGGAGCCTGGAGGTGCTGAGCCTGCGTGTGAGGGGTCTGGGGGTGCTGAGCTTGGCAGTACTGAGTCTGGGGGTGCTGCACCTGGGGTTGCTGAGGCGTCTGGTGAGCAGTCTCCCTGGAGCGGCCGTCTCCGTAGTCGCTCCGCTGGTGCCTCGCCGCTGCCCTCTCGTCGTCGACTCCCCCTCTCCTCCCTGCAGCTGGTTGAGTGGTACCTTGGCCGTCAGGGTCGCGCTGCTGGAGCTGGTGACTCTGCTCCTGGAGTTGTCTCCGCTGGAGGTTCTGGAGCTGCTGAGGGTGCTGGCGCTGGAGGTCCTAGAGCTCCTGGAGGGCCTGGTACTGGTGGCGCTGGAGCTGGAGGTTTTGGAGCTGCTGAGGGTACAGACGCTGGGGGTTCTGGAGCTGCTGAGGGTGCTGGCGCTGGAGGTTCTGGAGCTGCTGGAGGTGCTGGTGCTGAGGGTACTGGCACCGGAGGTTCTGGAGCAGTTGGGGGTGCTGGCGCTGAGGGTTCTGAGTCTGCTGTTGCGCAGTCTCCTTGGAGTAGCCGCCTTCGTCCACGTGTGCCTCTCACCTCACAGCAGCTGCACGAGTGGTACGGTCGCCGTCAGGGTCGCGCTGCTGGAGCTCGGGGCTCTTGTGCTGGAGGTGCTTCTGCTGACGTCGCTGGAGCTAGGAGTGGTGCTGGTACTTTGCGTACTGGAGGTGCTGGGGTCGCTGGTCACGGGGGTGCTGCGTCTGGAGGTGCTGCTGCTGGAGACACTGAGGCTGGAGACCCTGGGACTGGAGGTGCTGGTTCTGGGGGTGCTGCTGCTGGAGCCACTGATGTTGGAGACCCTGGGACTGGAGGTGCCGGTTCTGGGGCTGGAGCTTCTGGAGCTGCTGGAGGTGCTGGAGCTGCTGGAGGTACTGGAGCTGCTGGAGCTGCCGGTACTGGTGCAGCTGCGCCAACACGCTTGTTCTTCGCTCCGCCGTCTCCGTCGTCTCTGCCGCCGCCTGACTCTGTTCTTCGTCAGGTTCTTACTCTCCCGTCGTCTACTGGTCTTCCGTTACAGCCTGGCTCACCGCTGCCTGCTCCTTCTCCTTACACTGAGCCGGCAGGTAGTCTTGCTGAGCGTCGTGAGCCTGCGTCGCGTCCTGTCTCGCCTGTTCGTCCTGGTCGTACCGGTCGTCGTGTCGCTCGTGCGCGTCAGCCGGCTGTCCCCAGCGCACACCTTGTAGTCCGTCGTCCTTCCCCTTCTCCACAGTCTGCTCCTCTGCCTTCTCCCCCTGCGTCCTCTCTGCCTGCCGTTCCGGACCCTGCGTCTGACCGGTTTCGTGTTGAGCACCCTACTGTCACGCGTCTGTTAGCCACTGTTGTCACTGACCCGTCGTTTGAGTCTACTGCTGCGTCTGCCTTGGTTGCTGAGCTTGTTGACTTTGCTGCTGCCTGTCGTCTAGACTACGCCGCTAGTCTTGTTGCTGAGTCTGAGTCTGTCTGTCCTCCGTTCGTCGGGGGTGAGTGTGCTCTTAGCACAGACGTCCTTGAGGACAGGCACGAGGACCTTGAGTGTCTTGCAGCCGCTGCGCCTCATCTCGTGGCCATGCTGCTTGTTTCTGAGGGAGACCCGGATGCACCAGACATCCCGACCCCGCGCTCTTACGCTGAGGCGATCGCGGGTGAGTACTCCTCTCAGTTTTCAGACTGCCATGGACGCAGAGATGGCATCCTGGAAGTCCACTGGCACTTACGTCGACGAGGTTCCCCCTCCTGGGGCGAACATCGTCAGTGGCATGTGGATTTTCAGGGTGAAGCGGCCGCCAGGTTCTCCGCCTGTCTTCAAGGCTCGTTACGTTGCTCGAGGCTTCAGTTAGCGAGAGGGAGTAGACTTCTTCCAGACCTTCTCCCCCACCCCGAAGATGACCACTCTTCGGGTACTGCTGCACGTTGCCGCTCACCGTGACTACGAGCTTCACTCTCTTGACTTCAGCACAGCTTTCTTGCAGGGCAGCCTGCACAAGGAGATCTGGCTGCGCCGCCCCCCGGGCTTCACTGGGTTGTTCCCTCCTGGTACCCAGTGGAGCCTCCGGCGGCCGGTCTACGGTCTTCGCCAGGCGCCACGTGAGTGGCACGACACACTGAGGACTACGCTTGCGGCTCTTGGGTTCGCGCCTTCTACTGCTGACCCGTCGCTGTTTCTGCGCACAGACACTTCACTGCCGCCGTTCTACATCCTCGTGTACGTCGATG